CACCATTAACACTGATTAATATTTGTTTGTATAATTAAGTCAGATATATAATGGTTCGTCATAGTTATCGCCAACGGCTAAGATATCTTTGATAAGCTGAAATTCCTTTACCAAAATGAACAATCCTCTAATTGCAAAGTACCATAGTTAGGATGCGTTCTCCATTTCTACAAATGACCAAAAAATCAGTATATTAATTTATATATATAATGACTACTACCAGGACCTATATTGTCTGCGGGGATCACGTGGCTAAGTGGGTAAGACGCTAGCTCGCTAGCCTGGAGGTCGGGTGTTCGATCCCTGCATTGGCCGAGAAAGTTCATCCAGATTTTCCGGCGTGGTTCTCCCTTGTCAGTGATGCAGGACGGAGGGGCTGACAAGGAAAGCTGTCTAGTCGTTCGGATGGGACGAAAACCCGAGGTCCCGTGTACACATTGGCGTGCACGTAAAAGATCCCTTGGCATTTGGAATTCGATATAAGAGTAGGCCGTAGTGCCGCTGTCCGGGCAAAATTTCCCTCATAGCACACTGTATGGCGTATGCCCGTCTTCATTAGCCCAGGTTAGGAGCAGAACAGTAGGACGTTAAACCCCATTTCATTTCATTTATATTGTCTTCGCTCCCTCGATGAATATAGTTTCTGGGAACAATATAGAATATGGTATTTCATGCCAGTGCTTATATTCAAATTAGAAGAGTGTGAATTCTTATTATTGATTGAAATAAATCAACGCAAAACACGATATAAAATCCAAGTGCAAAACTGCCGCCAATAGAATGACCAAAACATTTATATTGTCTGGGTTGTATTTAGTTGCTCTCTGTAAATGTTGAAATTATATAGTATAAAACCCTCTCGCTATCAGTGTCGCGGATTTCCCCCCCCCCCCCTATGGAAGACCAAACAGCTCTTTATTTAGTGTTCTTAATTCTTAATTCATAGTCCTTATTTCTTTTTTTGTTGTCGTTTTAAAATACAATTAAAATACATTTTACAAATCTGATATGACAAATATGTAATTCGCAAAACAAATATTGATTTTAAGATACAAATGTTAGTGTTATTGTACAAATGTCGAAATACGACAACAAATGAAGAAATAAGAATTAAGGACTATGAATTAAGAAATAAGGACTAAGAATACTGAATAAAGAGCTGTCTGGTTTTCCATACACTCCTGGTTCGTGGCAAATCTTTGGAAATTGCTGTGTCATTTTCGAGTACACCTGTACTGTTGAGTCAACATCTTCACTCTAAATAGTGAGGACTCAGGTTGGCAATTATAGCCGTTTGCAGGTTTTGTCTGTGGTCATCTGCATAATGTTAAAGAGGGTAACTACACCACGGTGTTCCTGTCTAGTTATCATCAATTTCTGTCAATGCTTCTTTATGTGCACTTCAATTTGTACGCGGAAGGATCTGGTTTTTCCGTCCCGTCCCTTCATTTCTTTGTCAACACCACATAAATAGAAACCAAAATGATTTTTACTTTTTTTGCTGTTTAATGAACACTCATTATTCTTTTGAATTACAGGTAATGGCTTCCACATATGGATTGTTATTTTGCCTTTCAAACCAAGTATTATTAATTATCAATCAATTCATTCTAATTTAAAACCTATTATATCCCGATCATAATCAATGTTTAATAACTTATTAACTACATTTGCAACAAAAATAATCTTAAGATGATTGTAGAATGTCTACAATTGATTTCATATTCCATAGTTTCTGCAGATAGAAATAGAAATAGTTTTTGTTACCTGTCGCCTTCTAACTCAGGTCATCGTGAACCAGACGTCAGTATTCTTGTAAATATGTATTCGATTACGGCCTTTTAAAATATCTAAAGTTCGTTTATTGGCTGTATAACGAATAGAAAACAAAGTGTACAATTATGCAGTGCGGGATTTAACTATAGACTAAGACCGGCTGAAACCAGGGCCCCAGGATCTAGGGGGCACCCGGCCAAGGTGTATACTATTTTTGACACTGTCATACTCCTTTCTTACACGCAATGTAGGCTTAAAGCGATAATTTCATATTTTCTTAGAAAGTCAAAACACAATTATTTCTATGTCTTTTGCTCAAAAGGTTTCAACTCACTATTATACGATCATAGGTATTATTTTCCCTCTTAAAAAATCCTTTGACCCCGGAAATAATAACACAATTACCTCCCCTGTTTTTCTATTCCCCCATGGAATAGCTATCTTCAAACGTTTGAATTTGAAGTTGAAAATGATATTTTTGCCAATTTCTCAACTGGCAATAGTGAATTATAGAATTAATAGGATTATTCTTTAATAAGGTAGGACTGTTTATAGATACCATCTATTTTAAGGCTTTATTTTAATAAATTTTAACAATATAACTTAAAAATATGAAATTGCAGCTTTAAACATCCGCACTCCTCATCCACTTGTATTTAAAAAAAGAAACACATTCCTGTTCCTCTAGTCGTGAAGTTGATGGATCGGGAAGGTGGTTTATTGGGAAGGACATCATAAGCTGAATGGCCCGGGACTCTATCTGGTAGCCGCGCTGGCTCAGTGGGTATCACATTGGCACGTTAGCCGGGGGGGGGGGGGGCTCGGGTTCGCTCCCGGTGTTGGCCGCCGAGAAAGTTCCTCGGTATTTTCTGGCGTACTTTCCCCTTGTCAGTTGTAATTCGATATAAGAGTAGGTTGTAGCGCCGCTGTGTGAGTACAATTGGAGGGCTTAAAAGCCAAGTGATCCAAATTTCAAGTAAATAACATTAGTCTCCCATGTGTATCCCCCGAAATAGATTTTATCATTATCATAGCAAAAGATCAAGTCTTGTGTTAATATTTAAAGTAACTAAATATTTTCAAAACAGAAATTCTATTATGACTTTTTGGAAGATTAATCCAATGTCCAGACGTCACAACCTCAGTACACAATTTCAGAAAACACTTCATTTGGTATTAATGGAGTGGACCGTGAAATACACGGAACCAAAATAAAATACTATAATGATTTGTGCCCATTTCCAACAAAGGAAAAATATGCGACCCCCCCCCCCCAAGGAGATGGTTCGAAAATATTATCTGAAGTCCAAAAATAATCAAAGGCTATATGTATGATATATACAAATAGATGCTACAGGATAACTTTGGATATTCAACAAAACTTCAAATATTTCTTTATAGTTCTTTAACTTTAATTCTGGTAACTATATGTAAATACGAGTATATGTCTAACGATACTGGCTGATCAGATACCAGACAGTAAGGCAAGCAGTCGGATCCGTAATTTAAAACACAAGTGAAGGATAGCAATGAAAATTGACATATAAATACAATAGATTGAATACAATTAAAACAGACCACCAATAACCCATTATCATCTCGGTAACATTGAATGGATAGTCGTCCCCTTTTGTATGACCAGTTGTGTTGATTTTGTAATCTATACCTGAAAACGACCGATTGAACTAGTATTTTCTGCCAATTGTTGGTTAATATTCATCATTTTGAATCGAAAAGATAACATGGTTATCAGGTTGGTTATAATGTGATATGCACTGTTCTCAACTATAACATATTCCAGAACTATCATGTCTACTAGCAATCATCGCTGATCGCTAAACTTGGTAGGAGGTATGTAGATATGATATGCACTTTGTGTTGTGATGAATTGGACCATCCATAAAGTTATGTGGTCCCATCCACCCAGCCCCTTTGTCTCGATAATCAGCTACTTTACCGGCATATTCTCCAGACCTACCATCTGTAAGAATAGTTTCCCGCGTGGTTTCCCCTTGTCAGTGATGCAGGATGGAGGGCCTGACAAGGATAGCTGTCTAGTCGTTCGGATGGGACGAAAAAGCGAGGTCCCGTGTACACATTGGCGTGCACGTAAAAGATCCCTTGGCAGTTGGAATTCGATATAAGAATAGGCCGTAGCGCCGCTGCCCGGGCAAAATTTCCCTCATAGCACACTGTATGGCGTATGCCCGTCTTCATTAGCCCAGGTTAGGAGCAGAACAGTAGGACGTTAAACCTCATTTCATTTCATTTTGTAAGAATAGGGTGGTCGATGAGACCTGACTACTGTGCTGGTTACATGCTTACTAGTATACAACTTCAACCGTCCATGTGTAACCCCAAAAAAGCTTCAGAGCGAGATATTGTGTCAGATGTTGCTTCTTCTGTGGTGAAGCTAAGAATCAATATTAAAGTTAATAGAAGACTATTTGGTAGTCTGCATCCATGTTACAACTGTCACGATAGTCACTATAATATGACTCGTAATTGAATACAGGCAGAAAGACAACTTCAAATATTTACCATTGGCCAGATATATGTCATACAAGATTGTCTGGATACAAAATGCGCTCAAATTTCAAAATGTGCCAGGGTTAACCCAATTGTCTGGGGACACCTATATTTATAATCAAGCTATAACTCTGTACAAATTACATCAAGTAATTTATAATCAACACAACTTCAAATTAATAAAATAAATCAGGTTCAAGTCTAGACGAAATTTATCTCCTCTTGCAGCATAATTGAATTATGATTGAGTCAGTCGGAATAAATGAGCATGCTCAGCTTTCAGTAACATGTTTGGAAGTCTGATAGTGACATTTAGAATAATTGAACATCACTTCTAGAGGATGCACGAGTCATAAGCATATTGATCATATTGAAATATGAGCAGCACTCAACTGTAAAGTATTTCGTCTCAAGTGGTTTGAAGATCAGTTCATGATGCCTTCTGTGTTATTGTCTTTGGTTTGGAAATTAAAACAAAGGAAAACTCTGCTTGATTTGACTATAGATTTCAGTTATTATTCGAGTATTATATTATGTCCCCCGCCCAATCCCGCATAAATAGAAAATACTTAAAGGGGGGGGGGCATTCGGTAAGATTAGATAAGAGCTGATAGTTCTCGCTATAATAGTTAAAAATAGATAATGAAAACAAAATTTCTTCACCCTGAACCGATATATTACTCATTGTATTTTAGGCTAGTCTTGGTCATCATTACTGACGTTGGTATGATAACAAAGTCTCGCTCAAAAAATTATCCACCACAAAAATGTATTCAAATCCAGTAAATATCGCCAGCTAACGAGAGTTGATTATTGTCTGGATAAAGTTAGCATTTAGATAACAATTCAGACCCAAAGGAAGACCTGCAATAGGCAGATTACGCTCTTGCATAATGCATGTATCATAATTAATTTGCGTATTATTGTGCTGAAACGGAGCAGAAAATACCCATTGTCGATGTATTGGCGCATAGACCTACACACATCTTATTCCAATTCAAAGCATGCAAGAGGGGTAGATGGCTGAATGGTTAGCAAGTGCGCCCTGTATCATAAGGTAGGTTATTGAGTCAACTGGCGTGGTTTCGAATCCCCGGTTGTACGTGACAAGGAGCAGCGTCGTCTGTCCAACCTCGTGGATTTTCTCCGCCCCCCCCCCTACTGCTAAAGACCCCTACGCGCAAGCGAATTATGGAAATAAAATTGAACCATATGTTAGTCCCGAAATGACCTAGTTTGTGTCGAGTGGACGTTAAACCCAATCTCTCTCTCTTTCTCTCAAAGCATGCAGCAACAATTCAGTATTGCTTTCATCTCTAAGCCCAAGTTAAGACATTCAATGATTGTACATCTGCAAAGTTATTGTGTTTCAAAGTCCCGGCTAATTGAACAAAAAATGCATTAGTCATGGTAATGATTTATCTTCCGAGCATTTTTCGGATTGACGCCACATTTGTCTACTTCGTCCATAAAGAGACAAACAGTTCGCCGTTAAACCCTATTTCATTTCCTCGTTCATAACCAGCGGCTGCAAGGCAGGATACGCCCACATTTTCGAGAGATTGATAGAGAACAAGCTAAAATGAAAGTGATTTTTCCTACAATCAAGGGCCATAATTCAGGAAATTACAATTCGATATGCGCAAATATCGAAAGGAACCGAGATCTTTGTGTTTTAAACTTACAAATAAAAATTGTGACCTCTATAGGGTCCACAACCTTGATATACCATATTTTTTAGGCTATTTGAGAACGAAGGACGGCCATTTTGTCTGTCAATTGGTGATATAATAATACGGTTTTTTAAATCGGATAAAAATTATGACCTCTAAAGGGTCCACAAGCTAAAAACGCGATTTTTCGTACAATCAGGGGCCATAATTCAGGAAGTTACGGTCCGATATTCGCAAATATCGAAAGGAACCGAGATCTTTGGGTTATAAACTTACATTTCAAAATCGGATAAACATTGTGGCCTCTATGGGGTCCACAACCTTGATATACTATATTATTACGCTATTTGAGAACGAACGGTGGCCATTTTGTCTGTCAATTTTCACGAAATTCGAACTCAAACGTCCTTAGGGTGTAACGGTGATATAATAATACGTTTTTTTTTAAATCGGATAAAAATTATGACCTCTATAGCGTCCACAAGCTAAAAACGCGATTTTTCGTACAATCCGGGGCCATAATTCAGGAAGTTACCGTCCGATATGCGCGAATATCGAAAGGAGCCGAGATCTGTTGGTTATAAACTTACATTGCAAGTTTCAAGAAAATTGGATAAAAATTGTGACCTCTAAAGGGTCCACAAGCTTAAAACGTGATTTTTCGTACAAACAGGGGCCATAATCCATGAAGTTTCGATCCGATACATGCCGATATCGAAAGCAGCCGAGATCTGTTGGAGATAAACCTATATTTCAAGTTTCGTCAAAATCGGATAAGAATTGTGGCCTGTAGAGTGTCCACAAATAAATTGTGGACGCACGGACAGGGGCGACGACAATATACGTCCACATGAAAATGTGGGCGTATAAAAAATGAAATAACCTACTGTTCTGCTCCGACTGGGATAATGAAGACGGGCATACGCCATAGAGTGTGTTACGAGGAATATTTTGCCTGGACAGTGGTGCTACGGCCTACTCTTATATCGAATTTTAACTGCCAAGGGATCTTTTACGTGTGCACCTGACCTCGGTTTTTCGTCACATGCGAACCACTAGACAGCTTCCCTTGCCAGGCTTTCCGTCCTGTCCAATACTTGGTTATATCCTGACGAATTGTAACTTAGTTATCTCGGGGGAGGGAGGGGGAAGTAGTGTTTTATTATAAGAGGGACATTTTATATTACTACTGGTCTTTAAAAACACCTCTAAGAGATAATGTCCCCCCTTCCGTTCATTTAAACATGATGTTTAACTTACATCTTTCCAGTACATCCATTTTTGAAGACCATCAACTAATGATTGGTGGCATTCCGATGACTACAACTTATCAGGAGAATCGGGCCATTCTCTTTGTTTTAGATATATTATATTGACAATGTCATTAATAAATATCCAACAATCCTGATTTGGATGTATATTAGAATGCAAAAAGATTTAACGTTCTATCTTTCTGCACAAGCAGGGCTATGAAGACGGGCATACGTTTCTATCTACTCTACGAACCTACTCGGACCACATCCGGAATCTTCTGGCTATTCACCAATACTCGCTGTCTATTGAAGTGTGGGGTCGGTCTAGTGGTTTTACGCGTGTGCTTGAAATCATAAGGTCTGTCATTGAGTCAAGTGGCGTGGTTTCGAATCCTCGCTTGTGCGTGACAAGGAGTAGGTTTGCCTGTCGTATCTCTTGCAATTTCTCCGGGTCCTCCGGTTTCTTCCCACTGCTAAAGACCCCTTTGCGCAATACTATAACTGGAGTTGACCATGAAAATAAGTAAAAGAAAGAAACACTCGCTGAAAGAAAATCCTTCTATTACCTTAAGTTTATCTTGCTCCAGCAAGGCCATTGACTTACTTGAGAATTATTCCACCCATAAATATCAATTTCAATAATCAGTTTGACACTCCGTTGACAGGGTTGTTTTTTTTCAACTTTGATATTTTCATATATCCCTGGTTTGCACATTGAATGGTGAATGTGACGCCTGATGCATGACAGCCATGTACATTTCTCTCCTTTATAAAATGCGAGATTCGGTGCCTCTCGGGAATTGTCAGAACAACGTGGTTTAATTAACTGATGTCGAATAATAAATAATATTCGCAATTTAATCAACAATTCGCCGTTGTTTGATGAAATATTATGATTAAATATGTAATTTACAAATCCCTGCCTTGAAAAAAATTTCTTCCATTTCAAAGGTATGTGGTAACATCATCACAATACACCAGTTACCATTCCGCGGGTTCATTAGTCCACCGATATCTATTAAAGGGGTTGGGTTAGGTTTAAGAATTTGGGGGAGAGGTTAAGTCTCCACATAAACACTGACCTAGGATGATGAAAAGTTAGTTCGTGATATTTCCTAGTTTTATTTAAAAATACATACAATACAATACATTAGATTTATATACAAAAGCGATTTCTCTGTTTTTTGGTGTTGGTGGCGCTGATGGTCTTCCTTGGATGGTACTTCTGATATTCTGGTAATTTTGTTTCTGAAGAAGAAAAAGAATAAATTTGAGAGCCACATTATTGTGTTTCCTACTACGAATTATCAGGGTTAGGGTTCGGATTATGTTTTTTTTATACCCATATTTATAGTATTTCTTACCGCGGCGGACTAGTGAACCCGCTGACTAGTGAGAGCCCTGTCCCATTGCAAAACACAGTAAAGAATAATAAAACTTATACGAAACACTGTTTGATTCCGTGACATTTCGTTAAAAGGGGAGCCATGATGGTTTAATGAATAAGAAGCTGGCGGACTTGTGCAAGGAACAAGAAAAAGAACACTTGCTAGTTGGAATTCGACGAAGGGTAGGCGGACATGGCGCTGTCCAGGCAAAATTTTCCTCATGCATTGCCGGTCTTCAATAGCCCAGTTGGTGTAGACGAGTATGACGTTAAACCCCTTTACATTTTATTTCGTAAAAATAAAGACCCAACTGCGCCGGACCCACTAAGATGACATTTTTGTAATTCATGTTATACACAGTTCTATGAAATACAATTACAGCTGACTTATGGTCGATGTTTCTATTGGGATTCTCTCGTCTTCTATTAGGCAATTGTCGTTACAACGTCTAAACTATCTAGTCGAAATGTTCCTCCTCGGGTATAAACGTCAATTGCATTCTATAGAATTGCATCTAGTGTACGTGTCGCTTAACTGTCATTGAAACATCCTGTTGAATATCTAATCTCTGTTCACCCACTATCGCACCCCCGCCGACTCACTTTTCATGCAGATGTTTGTTGACCTCTTGTCTCGAATCGTATAAAAGGCTTTGAGTTGAGTAGAGTTTGGTGGATGTTCTTGATTTGGAGGCGGCAATATACCAAAGTTAAGGGGCTGGTTACGGTGATTATGTTTCTCAAAATGTCTGTGGCCATCGTAAGGTCAGGCCTTAGAGAATAATGTTGCCACATATTGCCATGAGGTAACAAGCGTCCAGTCTAAAGATAATTTGGTGGAAAAATCGCGAGTCAGGCAAAAAGAGGAGAATTAACAATAGTCTGTGACCAAAGGCATTTGTGGCTACAAACTATATCCCTAATCATGTGACATGGGGAGGGAGTCTGGTCTATGGTGTTGCGCTTCGAGCTCTGGGACTCTCGGTCGTGGGTTCCATCCTTGTTGCCACATGGGGAGGGGGATCTAGCGGTCTATGGTGTTGAGCTTCGAGCTCTGGGACTCTCGGTCGGGGGTTCCATCTCTTCGTGTGACATGGGAAGGGGAATCTAGTAGTCTATGGTGTTGCGCTTCGAACTCTAGTTGGGAGTCTTGGTCGTGGATTCCATCCCTAGTGTGAGCGTATGTGGCTTATGACCCCCCCCCCTCTTCTGAAACCGTACATTTACTGCAGTTTCCCCTCGCAGCAAAGACCCCTGTGCATGGTTGAGTTTACTAAATTAAAGGTTTGCATGCGATATCTCTCGTGGACAGTCTTAGGTGTTCACAGGAATTTACATAACAAGGCCGCACAAGGTATATACAAGGCTGAATACACTTGAGTACTCAGTATATACGCTGCTCTTAAAACGGTTAATTAACTAAGATCCGTAAAAGAGTTGCCTAGCAGCTAGTTTGGATAAATCACAGAAACCGATATCCGCCCATGTACACGTTGCTTTAGCGTACATGTAAAATAACCTTTCCCATTTGGAATTCGACGCCAAACAGGCGGAAAGTCCGCTTTTAGTATTACACACGTGGCTATTGAAACATATATGACCTATGTTAGATTTAAGAATATAATAACGCCAACAATCACGTGCCCTAACCTTATTTACATCTCAGCGATCTTGACGAAAATTGGGCTGGCCTTAACAAATAGAACTAGCCTCATTATCCATTCATTGCCTTTCCCAAGGGATGTAATACGCAAGCCATTGAAAAGCAGGTTGTCTCCCTTTTTAATCTGGATTTCAGACGCTACTTGCATAAACAATTGGAAGACAACTCGGCCATTTCATGATTTGTTGAACATTGATTTACACACTGCTTCATGGAAATCACTGAAGCGTTAAGTGACTACTTCTGCGGATATTGATCAAAGGATAACACGAGACTTGGTAATTGGCTGGTCGTGTTAAATTTCGCTTCATTTACTGGTTTTATTAATCGACATGCAAGATGTCTGACTCCTTACTGAATTAATTGAACATCCATCTTAGTAACATCTCTTTATAAAGAACTATTTGTGATATGAAATAATTGCCCTACTCACTTTACATGGGCGATTCATATGTTTTACGCTATGAATTATTTAATAAAGAATAATTTGTTAAGTCATATCAATTTTTGATATTATATAATTGAAATGGCGGATGCACAAACTACTTAGCATTATGGAGTTATAAATTTTTTTTGATATGAAATAATTATTGCATAATACTCATTTTACAAGGCTAAAATGATTTTATAAATTTCATTTGATAATTAGTATCAATTTGTGTTATTCTATCATTTAAATTGCGGATGCCAACCAGTTTAGCAATATCGCTTTATAAAGAACTATTTGTGATCAAATAATTAGTGTATCCTACCCATTTGGTGATTCACGTTATGCTAAGAATGATTTTTTAATTTTCCTCTGATAATTCATATTAATTTATGTATTTAACTGTAATTCTATCATTGAAGTAGTGGATGTCACATGAGGTTACTTGTCTCTTTAAATCAAAAAACGACATTATAAGAGATGACTTTTTGTACGACTACTTCCATCTTGGATAGTTTAAATATATAGGTGAAGGAATCCTATTGATTTGTAACTCACCAATATACGTGTATTTGCTGTGCATGATTGGTTGAAATTTGAATTTGTACAGTTAATGAGCTATCCTACCCACTTCCGTGGTTAACTGGTCAGAAGATATTCGGATAAAGATTCTATGTTTTAACTTTCTGTTGTTGACAATTCTTATTAATTGTTTTCTTAATTTATATTGCTGTTTCATATAACTTATAGTCTTTAATTGCATCATTTCGTACTAGCGAAAATATTTCTTAATATATACAGGTTGAAGTGTGGTAACGTTCACTCTACACAAAATCATTTCGGGACTAGCATATGGCACAATTTTCATATCAATAATTCGTAGGATTAGCATCTATCATATAATTCAAGGTTATACATCATAATCATATCGTGCAGCATAGTGGGTTGACTTTAAATTTGACGGGAAAGAACACAAATAGAAGATACAGAATTATTTCTTTAAAGAGGCCCTAACACGATTGTCAACTCATTTGCACACGTACCAAAACTTCATAACATCATTGGGGATTGGTTACTCATGAGGTATCTCCATCAGAATATAATTGCGGGTTTTTCAACTGCAAATAAACGAAACAAGAAATGAAATAACGTCCAACGAAAGAAGACTTAAAGGTTCCAATTTGTACTAGTAATATGTTGATATTGGTTAACAATTACGGTTCCGTGCAAAATGTTCCATCGTGTTTCATTTTTTTGCCTAGGTCTAGCAACAGATATTCTGATTGGTATAACATCTTTATACAATACCTTTCTGGTTCGACAACGCCGTTCTCATAGGAAATAACACATTTCTGACGTTCTTCTGGTAGGAGACAGCACCTTTACGATGAGACAGCGCTCTTCGCATAAGAAATAACACCTTTCAGATGAGATGTCATTCTGATAGGAGATATCACCTTTCTGATGAGACAACGCCATTCTAATAGGAGATAGCACCTTTGTGATGAGACAACTCCATTCTGATAGGATATAGCACCTTTGTGGTATCCCAGTTAGATGCCCTTACAGAACTATGCACCGCGAACAGGTTTTAGGTTTGAATTCAATCGATTCAATTACATTTAGAAATAAGAACACACATTAAAAATTTCAGCAACCATACACCATCACGTCAGCGTCTTGGAAAAAAGAAACAATTAATTGGTGTAGCGATTTTGTACGAATAGATTATTATTAACCCTATTTAAGAACGCGTCATCACAAACTTTACCCTAAAGCTCTTATGAAAAATGTTAGGTATTATCTATAGATACAATCGTTAAATCATATCACAATAGAAACCAGCCTACAGGTATAGTTTATAAGTCAGCCACCTGAATTCAGACAGAAACGATTCAGTAAGTACAGCTACAATAAGCACTTTTCTGAAAAGGCACCGTATGCCGAGCAGAGCGAGTCGAAAACGTTGAGGATATGCATAGAAATTTTACTAAATATTCTGATAATTTCTTTTTGTTGCGTATCATACTTGATTGTGTTGCTTTACGTTAGGAACACTGATCTAGACAATATTACATATATATTTACACATTGTTGTTTCCATCGTCACGTGAATCAATACTTAAAGTTTTCCAAGAAAAAACCCAACTAATTGGCATGTTTTTGTGGATAATTTATAATGTTTATCGGGATAAATAGCGTAACGGAATTTAATATGATAATAAACTTGGTATTACTGCTTTCAAGGACCGAGATCCCTTCATATGGATATGAAATAGGGCTTAACGTCCCATTTTCACGCACCGACTGAGATAATGAAGAAGGTCCCATTGATTTGAATCAACATTGGGCTGATCGAAAAAAAAGCGTAAGTCCTATACTAACTATTTAATTAAGCCGGAGTAAATGTATTAAAGGTTCGCAAATGACTAAAACCGCGGGTGTGTTTTTTTAAAGGTTTAGTTTTTCAACATTGGCTGAATGCAGGATTTCCGATAGTGGTAGATCGTGGTTAAAAAGCAAACCCAAGACAGATTTTGTTTCATAGATTTATTGGTTCGCCTATGTCGACGATTCAGGAACATCTAAATCCACGTCTCGATTTGTGGTTAGCTAACATTTATTTGATATTTCGTGATCACTTCATCAGTGAGTAACTTCATTTATTTGGGTAAGTGACACAGTTCCCATATATCATACTAAGCCAGATAATACCCATAGATCCACGATAACATCATTTATCGCCATTTGGACTGTACAAAGCCTTAGTGACATAATCCAGTACCGTTATCCACAATTTTAATAACGAACGCTTAAAGTGAGAAATCTACCAATGGCTTAAGGAACAATCCGAGTGTCAAGAAAATAGTATTAGTTGTTGATATGCCATTTCGTGTAATCATTCCCTCAAATGCTAATTTAATTTCATACTAGAATTTAGCCATTTCATACACAAAGAAAAAATATTCGTATAGGATTTTTGAATCCTTACCGTCTATTTTTCACCACGATTCTTCTTTGTTTGCGAAAAGGAATCATATCTTGCCACATCAGACACAAATTTATAAAAATTCAACACTATTTTCATATAGAATTGTGCATTACAAAAAAACAAGATTCGTTTGAATTGATCCGCCATTATGAAACTCACGCCTGCGCAGACCGGAGGTCACGGGTTCATAGCTGCGCTCAGCCAATATTCCAAATGTAGGAATGCAATTCTACCGTAATATGAAAATTCGTGCTATACACCAATTAACAGACTAAACTGTTATTTGATACCCTCATTTTTTTTATTCAACATACACGAACAATTATTATATAAAATCTATAAAATAGAATAACACATTATATTGACATTTATAAAATATTTGAAATAAATAAATACTTTAAATTTAATAAAGTAATACAAGGTAATTAAATGAACCTCAAACATTCAACATACATGAACAATTATTACATAAAATTTGTATCAATGTGTTATTCTATTTTATAAATTTTATGTAATAATTGTTCATGTTTGTTGAATGTCTGAGGCAACACAGTCATTTGGGATGACACATTTTCTCCCAAATGGCCGTCTTTTTTTAAAATAGATAACAGCAATTGCTTTTTCCAAACCCTCAACGATAATAGCCTACATTTACAGTAAAAACTCTCTATTAAGGACAACTCGTGACTGACAAATGCTACCCTTTTCAGAGAGGTGCAATGATTAAACAAATTGCGATCAGTGTCCTTAATGGACATGGCCCTGCAAGCAGAGTTGTCGCATGGATCAGTTGGAGAAAACATATAAAATATTTATTTTATTCTCTCTTGATTCTTGCTACATGTACCAGGCTTTATTAGGGCCGTGTCGAATTAATTAATTCTATGGTTTGGTACAAACACAGCACAGATTTGAAGCAAAAATAGGTGCGATTGCGAAGTCCAAACCATAGGATATGATAAAGCAGCATCTTTCCAAACATTATTTACATCAACAGAAACCGGATATACCAATATTTTCGAACTTACATTATGTACAGAACATGTTTTGTTGACCACCTTTACCAAATGTTGTGCTTTGCCATTTCTGCAATCATGGCATATTACAAAAGGTTCCCACTCAAAATCGCCTAACATTTTCATGATTTTTTTTATGAATTCTACAGGAAACTTCACAGGCAACATAAAGTGACGAATTAAATTTTAGATATTAAATTTCAGACGGAGATCATTTTCAAATATCCAAATTACACTCAAATATGTAAAGTAAATAATAAAAACCTGGGGCCTGTTTCACGAATTTTACAGACATTTCACCTAATAGTTTGGATGCGGGTGTGGCGCCAGGCAGGGTAAGCTTACTCTTCCGGGCACCTGTTACCACTGTTTGTCGTGTATTTTGTACACGAGGAGCAGTCCATTTGCTGATTACACTATTTTGCTTGAATACACTATTTTGCCTATAACGTTTTTTAGGACTTCGAATTATGTCTTATGGTTTGGATTGTTCGTACTTGGTTTTATTTTATTTGAAAGGATCTGGCAACTACTGCCCTTCCTCTTGTTATCAATGTTTCCTTACGTGCCTTAGCGACTGAAGCTGGTGGGCGCCCAGGTTGCAAGCATTTCTGGCCACTCAAAGCTACCCAAACTTGGGGAGATGCAGATCCTTTGTCTTGGCTCTTGAAGAAAGATGGATCATCAGACGATGAGTTATTTATCATAAGAGAGTGCATGTTGATTTGCACTTGCGGTCAGAATAAAATCACATAAATCAATGCCGTCTTTCCCAATGCCCCTTGTCTTAGCCCTGATCAGTCTTTACTATCCCAGTCGGAGCACAACAGTAGGACGTTAAACCCCATTTCACTTAGCCCTGACTTAATACTTGCTTAGAGAAACATATTGGTACTGGAGGTTTGGGTGTGTAAGCACAATACCCCCTTTTCACCGGCTTAATACACAGCGAAACAGCATAGATCGATCACATGTTAATTCCACATATATTTGTAAATACTCAACGAAATTCAATCTCCTAATAGAGGTTCATCTTTCACAATAATGAAGTTTGCAAGTGACTTTTATAGGGCTAAAATGGCGTATCAGGATTTAAAGGGTTTTCACAAAAGTACTTGAATAGTTATTAACCTTACTAATTGTTAATTAAATAAGACCAATATTTACAGTCGTTTCTTTGTTCCATCCGAACTACTAAACGGTGTCCTTCGCCCGGCCTTCTGTCTTGTACCAATGACAAGGAGGAACCACACCGAAAAATATTTTCCGTGTGGAATTGTGTGCATACGACTTATATTATTATCATGCATGCCTTTGTACATATTAAACCTGTTTCAACTTACCAGGTTAGGCGCAATATAACCCATTTGGTGCAAACATGCCATTAAACATAATTTCATCTATTCATTTTAACCCTCTATATTAGCCCAGTCGGAGCAGAACAGTGGGAGGTTGAACCTCATTTCATTTGTATATTTGATTTGATTTCATTCCATTATACACTTAAAACACACCGTACGCATCATACTTTAAGAATAGAAGCGAATCTGGTCACATCCACCGTCGGGCATAAGTTAAATTAATGAAGATTGGACTGTATAAATAATTAACCACAGTAAACATAAACAGCATACGTAGTTTAATTACACAAGCCATCAGAGTTGATATAAATCTCGATACATGAATTATTAACAGATTGTAAACAATACATACGGTTTGTTAGTAGATGATGAAGTGGATTGATAAGAATTTAGGTCCATTAGAAGCGTTAGTTGCTTATCGTATCATCATCCCCATTACAATCTGCCAATATAGAATTATCTTCAAAAACATCTATATCTTTATATCTACTACAATGTTATTAATTCTCTTTACACAAAATTATCACACTATTATTTCATAATATTCTTTGAATATAATTCGTGAAATGAAGCTGGATTTAACGTCCTACTGTTCTACTCCATCCGGGAATATTTGTGCTGAAGCTGAAGACAATGGGTAAAGATGTCCAGATTACACAAAATTATCACAGTATTATTTCATAATATCCTTTGAATATAATTTGTGAAATGAAATGGGATTTAACGTCCTACTGTTCTGCTCCATCCGG